ATTAATAATAGAAGGTCTAAATAAATCTCATATGAAAATAATCTCATAAAATAAATCTCATATGAAAAGTTTAAATTTCATTATATTGTAATATTACATTTTTCAATATCTCGTAAGCAATATTAAAAATTAAATTAGTTTTTATAATCGATAATACAAATGACAAAATAAGAAACATTGAAAAATGGAGCTTTAGGAGGTAAGATATACGGTTCAAACCTAATAAACGTGCACCTATATGTACGTAACGTCATAATATTGAAAGTCAACGTTATTAATACGAACGCAACAATCAGATTTTTCTGAGAGCTACATGCTAAGAATAATCAAAACGCTACATCACAAGGCAAATTTAGGTTTTTAGCACGGAACAACGAAGCGCAGTTATCGAATGACGTCGGTGTAAAGTGATAAGGCTCGTTGTTTGCTATATTCGCGAGGCGTACCAGACTATGATAGAGATTAGCTTATCTCGACTACGAACCACAAGGAGGTCTCTGTTCATTTGCCAGCACTATGTCAATATTATTTCGCTGACCGCCGTCACAGCCCGAACTCCGAAACTACTTTTATTCGCTCTCTTCTCTCCCTCTCTCCCTCCCCCCTCTCTCTCTCTCCCTCTCTCTCTCACTCACTCACTCACTCACTCACATATATTTCTGATAAAAAGAGATCAGAAATGTTAAGATTAGTTTTTCAAAGATAACAATGTTAATATATAAGAAAAAAAGGGGAATAATAATTCACTTTGGGGAAACGTTTTCTAATTTTCTAGAGCGATACATCTTTAGATAATTAGTTTTAGTCGACAGATCGATTTATTAAAGCACAGTTAAAAATTTGAATTAATATACTGAAATCTTACGACAATGTTATTTTTGGGAGATAAAATTCTATCTTATAAATTTGCAAGCAGAATTCATAAATTTTTGCCTCTCACTACGAGACGCAATCAAATATTTAGTTCGATTCTCGCCAATGTCAAAATTCCAAGTCTGCGCATATTTGCTTGCCATTAAAATAGAAAGATGAAACTCAAAGCCGTGGTATGTACCGTTCGCTGAAGTTGCCACTACTTTTTATCCCCTTCTCTCTCTCGCTTTTATTATAAAGGTCAAATAAATTCGAGTAGCCATTTCGTATCTTCTATGGCTGTCTTTTCTGAAACTGCCGTCGGCCATAAATGTTGCATGAGCATCCAAAGTGATTGACATTAATATTTAAGCGGCACAAGGGAAATGAAACGCGAACTGTTTCAAAATATGATAAACGCTACCGACTTTAATAATTTCGTTTCGTTCAACGTTTTCTCCTATTCGCAATATTTCTTATTATTCTTTTCTAATAAATAAAGAACGCGTTATGAAAAAGCTACGGTACAAAGAAACGAAATTTAAATACGCACACGTAAGCTATTTCAAATAACATTTATTTATCTCAGAGGAGGAAAGAAAAACTTTTTTCACATTTATTTTGCATTTGCATCATAAATATTCTCACAACTTGACGGTCTTAGCTTTTGTCATGTAGTGCTGTCAATGTAAAAGATCAATGTGGCATTTGCAACTTTTTGTGTTAAATCTGGAATTGTAAGAATAAAGTAAAATATGCAATTCTTTCTTTAAATTTAAAGATAAAATAGCTTGCTTTTAATGTAAATAATAATTATTTAATGTGAATAATAACGCAGACAGCCTACGGAAATAATGTGAGATGTGCAGATTACGTCGGAGAAGCTTAAAAATCCTTCAAGGTCATTTTTTTATTTTTCGGTGCATCAAGCATTCAACAATCAATTATCAACGACACATTAGAGCCTGACCTCGGCGACGAAATATCGCGCATCACCATTGGCTAGCCTTTCACATTTAACTTCTACTAATCACAAATGCAAATGTAATTTTATATGAATTTTTCAATCCTCTAAAGGAAGAGAGCTCGATAATATAATATTGCATTAAGAGTTAAGTAGTTATGACTATTTTCTGTTCTATGAAAGGAAATTGACGGCAAATTTGCAAAGATATACTGTAAAATTATGTGATACTTTTCGACACATCTTATTATTTATTTGTGTCTATATCATACTGTTTAAATGAGTTTAATTTTATATTGATATGCTTCGCCTCTTTTATTTCTCTTTCTCTCTAATTTAATACTACACTTTAATGAACTTACATAATGTTTTTAGACGATTTGATTAGACGACGGCAATTTATTATTCTATACGATTTTAATCAGCTCAGACACCGTGATGATATGTAATCAGATTTCAGACTGCTTTAGATGACGAAATAATTCAAGGCCGCTTTTATCCAGTTCGTGGCTATCTATTCGTATAGCCGAGGTGTGGTATAGAAAGACTAGACATTTTGACCGTCTGGGACCTCTAACGGTATTGTCAAAAGATGCGTCACGAATTGAATATCCACGCTACTTTTGGGCACCTCAACTAACGCACGTTCCGTTCGCTATACTCTTCCGCTCAATCCACCTATCTTGTTCTTCTCTCGCCGTCGTTTCTTTTATTAAACAAGAAAATTCTGAACTAGATGATAATTGCAACTTACATAATTAGAAGAATGTAGTATTATATTGCTTGCACATATTTTTTGTCATATTGTTGTAAACTGACATATTTTTCGCAAACGATATAATTTTAATATATCACGTATTTACAAGAACTCTTGCTTATCACTAATGTGCGGTACTTAAATTAGATTAATTTTAAACAATCAAACTTTTTTAAAATTAATTACGCTAATTGATCTCATCTAAACAAATTTAGCTCTTGTCAAAAATCAGTAAGTATTTTCGTAAACTAATCACAAATTAAGTTAGCATTATTTTGAAACCAATGATAGTCGTTTAATACAGTTTAATGCTTAAATTTTTTCAGTATTATATAAAAACCGGTTAAAATATATCCCATGTATTATACGCTGATTATTCATCAATGTATTCAAGAAATACAATTAAGCAACTCTGTAGCGCAGTCATTGGGAAATTATAATGGTCTACGCTGTAATGTATTCTGTCATTGTATATAGAACGTTCGCCTATAAATGTCCTCCATCCGTCGTGACCGTCTGCAACCTCTAACGGTGTTAGCAAAAAAACCAGACGCAAAGTGGCGAATGTCCTTGAGTGCTTAGTGCTTGGATGTCCGCTAGAAGCGACGGTATTGACTACGACTCAATACGAACGCGTATTATAGTCTATGTATGTATGCAACGCACAAGTACGCGCGGATTTACATCTACAGCATGGTCGTGATATGTGCCAATTTTCTGTAATTTGTTGGCTATATTTTGGAACGATTGGTCTCCATTACAAAGGCGCGCACGCGGATCGGAAATTCAATTAATTCCACGGTTATTTAATTGAACAAATTAACGTTGATTAACTTATTTATCGAATATGTTGTCTAATATCGGCCCTGTTCGATATTAATGAATTGTTACGGTTGTGTTCTCAAAATTGCGTTAACATTTTTATAACGCTTCTTATTTTTGTTGATATTACCCGCCTCAATTATTTGTTAATTGGCGACGTAATTTTTCTCTAAAGACTAAAAAAGGCAAAAACTATTGATTGAACTAGTATGTCTTCACGATTCTATTTAGTATTCGGGTGACTGATTCATGGCAAAGGTAAAAGGCCACGTGTATGACCAACGTAACAGCCGGCCAAAACTCATCTATGTTCTCTTTTCTGCGACACGTGATGCCGCTGGGCTTCAAATATATGTAAATAAAAACGATAGATGTATCAATCTTTAGAAATCGAATGAGTTTTTCGAAAACTTGTTAAAACTTTTCAATTACCATATGTTACAGCAGTAGTTTAAGAAGAAGATTGGGGTCAATCGAGAGCGTGGGAAAATAGTTTCCTAGTTTTCTTGATAAAATTTATCGAGTTTGATAAAATTGCTCGTACTTAGAAATATAGCGATTCTGCATCGAACTTTTTGCAAGAAGAAAAATCCGTTGTTTAACGGTCGGTAAGCGCTTTGAATAAAATTTTCACACGGCCTACGTGACGAGGGCACAATCTGGGACAGGTGGCTGCGTAATCTGTGAACGTGTATTAAAGTGTAGCGTTTTCATCGAACCGATTTTAGAGGACAAGTACACGCGCGCGCGCGCGCGCGTTCGCTCGCCGACGATAATAACTCGCGCGTGTATTCTACGCTCCGTGTTTCGGCGCGTATTTTCGACTGCCACTCAGCCGAAGTACCGAGGCCTGGGCCACGCAATGATACCTGCTCGCTTTGGCTAACGTGACGACCGGTGTGTGTAGCGATCTAACAGAAAAGGAACGCAGAGACGCAGCGCAAGAGCAATGCCCCTTGGGTCAGGTTCAGTACCCTTTGGCACAAGGCACTCGGAGAACGACGTAACCGGCATGCATCTGCGCGCGTATAGGTGAACGCCGTGTACACGCGAACACCTACTTGCATGCGAGATGGCCTTTTCGCGACGCGATAGATAAAAAACTGAACGAGAGACGTTGCCTTCTTCTTTTCCTCCTCCCTTCTTCCCCACCCCCCGTCCTCTTCTCACGCGCGTTTCATAAATTGGGACAGCCTCGCTCGCGTATCGACTGTAACTAAATCTCCCGTATCCTGCGCGAAGCATTCTTCGGACATCGCCAAAAAATCACCGCCGTCCTGCGAGCGTTTACGCCGCCGAGATTTTCGAATTGTTTTACGACGCCGCAGATTTTTCTATTTTAGAAAGAAAAAAAAAAAGAAAAATTAACGTAGAGTATCTCTTTAAATTTCTGATTTAATTTTTCATAAACTGATGCTTTGTATTTTAATAATCGACGAAGGGAAAAAATGTTCTCTCTTACCCTTTTTTCGCACGTTTTTACGCTCTCGTCGAGATTTCACTCCGCCGCGCGGCAGTGACGAATGAAACGGATTTCTGGATTCCTGTTCTGGATTTCCTCGCGCGTGCCTCATCGCGCGCGAATGTATTTCTATGGATTTTCAGTTGGTGAATGGCCTAGACGTACCCCGATACATGTGCGAGACCGAGGTGATGGAGGACGTAAACGTTGCCCCGGCGGCGGCGGCCGTGATGGAGTACACCACCACTTCCGGCAATCATACCAGCAAGAACGCGAACGGGAACATCATCACCCTCACGCTCAAGAACAATCATCTTATCGTGGAAACGGAGGAACGTGCGGTACGTACGGCTTACGGAAAATTTCCGGCGTTGCGACGAAAACGCGTCGCTTGTAATGAATCCCTTTCCTTTCTCCCTATATTCATCGCCTAAATGAGACGACGCGACGTGAATCACCGTAGCGAGACTCGTCGGTAACCGCGGTAACCGGGTCAGAGACTGGGCTCGTTTTCGGGCCGGGGAGTAGATTCGTAATTATCGAACTTGGCCGACCCTGGTAAGGTCGGAGGTTGTGCCGGGCAATTTCGCCCCACCTATCCGTCCTACTTACGAGCCTCGTCTCATTCGCGGCGAGGCTCGTTCGCGTCGAAGATTCTCGAAATCGTCCGTCGAGCCGCTCGCCGCCTCTGCCGACACCTACGTTTCCTCTTCCTCTCTGACCGCGGCACATCCTCCTTCTCCCTCTTTCTCTTCCTCCTTCTATCGTCTGTCTGACTGTCTCGCACGCTTCCTCATTTTCCACCCCGATCTCTCTAAATGCTCTACTCGCGCTCTGATTCAATCCGTTCTTCTCGCACCTATATAAAGTGCCCCAAACTTTCGAACAAGGAAAAGGCGTGGAGCCGATTCGGGTCCGTAACTCGGGCCTGCATTAAAAAAGGGGGAAAAAAATAATGGACTGAGTAGATACGCACGAATTCCCGTGGGAGAATTGGAAGGTTTGCCCAGAATAATGAATTTCCTCGAGTATCATCCTGATTTTAGGAAAGAAATTTGCGTTACACTTTATTTTTAATTTTTTTTTGAACTATTATTTTGTCACTACTGCATAAATTATTCGACATTAAGTAACTAGTGCTTACTGCACGTATTACTTTTGTGTATATAAATATTTAATTTCGAGATTGTAGCAGAATTTTGTTTTAACTTGTGATTGTTGCTCAAAAAAATATTTAAAACGTACTTGTTAAAACAAATATAATACAGTAGATCAATCCTTTGTTTCAAAAAAGAGAGCTGTAGACTATACTTTACGTATAGTTCGAATACTTTATATTAATTTTTAACAGAAGAGAAAACAGTATAATTATAATTCGTAATTTATGAATATATTTTATTATATTCAGGTAACGATGGAAGATAACAAACCCACGTCAATATACAAAGACAGCGGGTGTTCATTTGTGGTAGAGGTGCAGCCAGATTATGACAAGGAAGAGACGAAGGGTAACAAAGGGTCGTCCGATGATGTGACTACTGGTGTCACCGATCAACAAGCTCTGGTGCACAGGGAGGAAATACCGGACGACAGATCTTCAGGTGATTATTCTCCGTGATGGCGTAACATCTCGTTTTTGTGATTTATCATCTATTTTGTCGTGTCTTATGCAGCTTTCGAAAATACGCGACTGTTCGGGAGCACCAACACCGGTCTGTCACAGTCAGATCTATCGATATCCAGCCAAGGTTCGGCTAATCCAAGCTATCGCTACGGCAATCAAGTCGAATACGATTCCGGCCATCTTGGTTACCCCATGTACGGTGGTAGTTACGAGTCCGATGTGCCGTCGAGGAAACTGGAGGGACGATCGAAATGGGTGGAGTTCGACAAATCGCCGGATATAGACAAGATACTGTTAGACGACTCCAGAAATTTTACTAGTGAAGAAGAGGAGGAGGAGAACAAAAGTGTAAGTAAAGAGAGTAGTTAATTTATCTGAATCCTTTCCCGTGTGCAATTATCGTTTCGTTTCATTTTGATAGAAATTAAGGAAGAGTAGAGCCCCCGCAACACTGTATCGACTCTAGCTTAAGCTAATAAAATTTATTCCTTCAACCATGGATTATTCATTAATGTATTTTTTTTATGTTAAAATAAGTTTAATTAAGATTTAAAAAGTGTTTTGTTACCAATTTATATTTTACAATTTACAATTTACATTTTGTTACCAATTTACATTTTACATTTTACAATTTGCATTTTACATTTTACATTTTTAATTTTACAATTTACAATTTACATTTTTGGAGATTTAATTCGCTAAATCATTTAAATTATTAATGTTGAAAAATTTCTTTGATATTGATATTAATCTATACTTGAAATCTCACACTATTATATACATATGTAGATCGATCAGAAAAGATCCTTATAACACGGAAGATGTTCGTTTCCTTTCAGCCGCAGTTCTTCGGAAAATCAAAAGATATGTCGTCTCTGCAAGATGTTGTGAACGCGGTGGTACGGGAGGACTCGTTGGATATCGACAGTTTCCCAGATGCCGTGCGATCGAATCCGAATCTCCAAGTGAACGGCACGACGCCGAACAAGCTCGAGATTATGGAGCAGAAGGCTCTAAGCAACGACTTCGCCAGCAAGGCGGAGAACAACAAGCCCGTGATAACCGGCGTGCTGCTGAAGGACGACGTTCAGGAGGACGCGTTCCAGGAGCAGCAGCGTAAACTGGGTAACGGCACGCTTACGCCGGAACACAAGGGGGACAGGACGGCGGCACGCAAGCCGGAAGGCAGTGTCTTCGTGCCGAGTCACAAACGAGCGGGCAGCATCCCGCCGCGACTGATCGAGGAGACGCTCGAGATGGATCGCAAGAAATCGCTCGACATCTACAATAAGTACAGTCAAATCAAAACGAGTACCAGGGGCATGCTGCCGAGCTTGAGTCCGAAATTCGAGCTGCTGCAGAACGAGGTGAGTCCGATCGAGGAGAAAGAGAGTTAATGTGCGCGCCAATCAAGGAAGGATCTCCCATCCCCCGCCGTCCCGCTCCCCTCGTCGTCGCCATCGGTTTCTCGACTGTGTGTCGTCGGGACGCAACATCCTCGGGATAAATTGCAACGAAAGATACTAGTCAGGGATTATTGGAAAAAAAAAAAAAAAAAAAATGCAGCGAACACACGGTTAATGGTGTACTAATGGTGTAGGAATTATGTTATTCTCTAATGTATGTAGCGAATATTATATAACGGAGTCGGCATCGTAATGGTCGGTTACTACTATCTATTTCAGCAGATGGCAACGATCTCGTAGATTTGAGTCGAATAGACGAGTACCTTCGCGAGTACCTACGCAAATTCTATGCGACGAGGAGGATTTAACGTAAGAAGTTAGCGCGTAATATGTATAAGCAATTTAATCAAAGAAGGAGAGATGCGGTCGCCGTGAAAACACTCCACGCATAATTGCAATTAAAATTTTTTTCTTTCGTGCATGTAACGAAAAGTGTAACACATGGATCGGCAGTTACGTTTTTTAAATTCCTAATTCACAAAAACCGCTTATTTCATATGTAACTTAAAATATGAAAGAAATATGTCTTTTATATGGACCGTGCTATTTAGTTCAAGCTGATTGGAGAACTTTTCACGGCCGAAACAAACGAGCGATAATGATTAATGTTAAGTGTAACGTACGTCGATCAGGAGCTAATCAAAAAAGCATTGCAAGTAAGAACCCTTTTTCATCGTAATTTCACGTAGACGTAACAGTTCATCACTCGACTTGTGATAGTGACGTAGTCATATATTTCGTGAAATTAACATTAATGATATTAGAAAATATACATATGCGATACTCAATCTTTATCTAAGTTCTATTTCTTCATCAAGAGTGCATAGTCACATTTTGAATTTCTTTCACAAAATATTAACATTTTTCACTTTTTGATGGTAAAATTAATTACTCATAAATCAAAATTTTAATTACTTTTTAAATATTTTTCAGATATTTAAAATTCGTAATTTAAAAGAGAAAAGTTTTAATAATAGATAAGTCGGTTCTTTAAAATTCGTGTAGTTTTAATGCCGTAAAAGCGTTAATAAATTAAATAAAATTCGTTTCCTATATAGATACGCGCGCGCGCGCGTGCGCGTGGTTAAAATTCGTACATGCCTGGAGTCTCGGTTCGTAGCTGCTATGAGTTCATTAACATTTTCGATCCAGGATAAGCCACTCGAGAATCGCTACTATAACGATATTATGCATTGTAGTAATCGTAAGTTCCTTAGAGCGTGAGACATTACATTTCTAAACATCCGTATTTAGTAAACAAGTCGGTGTATACATATACACATCGAATGTATATACATATAACGAGGCTCATGCGTAATATAAAAAGCACATACACGTTTAGGTACGGAACACGTGTACATTTAAGCGCGCACACGATGTTAAAGATTTTTTATTAGCTTCATAGGCGTTTCAGGATGTCGAAATCGACGCTTAGAAACCTAACACGTGAATTATAGTGCCAAAATAGTTTAAGAACGAATCGAATCGACCTACGAGTCGACGAGCGTCGTTTATCTGTGTATAACTACGTTGAGAGGGTAACATTACGTTATTGACATTTCAGATTTTATATGATTACGTTGAATGTTATAAAACGTTATCGAATGTTGACGATGCTTTGCGATGCTTTGCCGTGAGTTTTCACGATGTGAAATTGAATTGTTCTTAACCTGTATATACCCGGAAAATATCCCCCCCCTCCCCCTCGTATCAGATATCCTCTTGACTTTCGCAAATACTCTGTTCCTACTACCGCCGTTATATTTACACACTTTGCTCCATAAGAAAATCAAAACGATCTACTTCGATGTCCTACAAAACGATCTACTTCGGATCACCCGGTTTTCACGCTAAGCGCGAGCAACGTAGAATTTTTCAACAGATGGGTATAAATGGGTCGAGACGGTGGAAATTTTTCCTGTCTATAATTAAATGTTTAATCATCCTTTTGACAGAACTCTGTCGATTGAGATCATGTTCGAAGCGCTTAGCTGATGACATTACAGAAACGCGGCGCGGCCGTACGTTTCGATAACCCCTCCAGCCTATAATTACGCGAGGAACGTGTATCTCGGTATTTAAATAAAACGTGGCTCTTAGCGCGCGATTATCTTCAGTTTCCTGCGAGTTGGAAATATTGTTCTTCATCTCTATCATTCGATACTGATTATTGCTGTTTCTCATCCACGTATAGGCGTGGTCGGAAATGCGATCTAGAGCCAAGTCTTCGAACGTGATCATTATTGCATGCTGGAGAGGAAGCTTTTATTTTCCCTAAATATATTTAAAAGTCTCTATTGCGATCTAAGATAATTGCCGATAGAGCATGTTTTAGAGGATTATCGTAGATCTAGAACTCGAAACGTATTACAACTGCGAAAGTAGAAGTCGTCCGAATGCATAATGCAAAATCGAGGAGGAACGAGGAGCAGGAAATGTTACGGTAGTGATCGATTTATAATTGCGCGTTATATTTTATCTCTCCACAAGATTATTATCTTATCTTATTACCGTTAAACATGCGTCGCCGTGCTCTTTAAAAATATGGAATATGAGCTTTCACATGATCGGAATGGTACGATCGTACGATTGTTTGTTTATACAAATTTTAAAGAAAACACATGTTATCTTAGTGCAATATGTAATTTTGACTTCCATAAATCAAAAATCATATATTTTATATGCCATTTTTGTTCTACGTTTATATATTACTTATGTAATATAAACATGAGGAGTTGTTTTCTTCATTAATCGCTAAATATGTGATCGCGTTGCGTACTTGTTAAATATTATCTTGTTAAATAGAGTTTAACCTTTTGTTAGAGTTTATGCAGGATGATTTATGCAATCGCGATGAGTTGCAATTCTTGTTAATTGCAAACGAATCAATTGTAAAGGAAACATATAGTTATAACATTTGAAATAATATGTAATTGCAAATTATACATTTATATTTTTAAAAGCAACTATGTGCTTTCTCTATACTAGTTAATTAATTTTATTATTTGATAGAAATATTAAGGTGAGATAATTAAAATATGAATACTTTACGAGGTATTATTAAAATATAGTATAAATATTTCGTAAACTATTAATTCTTAATAATTTTATCTCAATACTTTTTTATACGCAAAATGTTTATCAGATTCGATTTATGTAAAAATCATTTCATTAAAAAAAAATAATTGCATTTTTCTGATGCATCCTTAAGCTTATAAAAGATATATAAAGATAGACCTTATTATACTATTCAATTTTTTCCTTTGTCAGTTTTTCCTATCTTTAACGAAATAAGAACTACAACTCGTTCCAGTTGTATGACTCATCCTGCAAATCGCAGATATTTTTAGATAGGTTAATATACAGATTTAATAGAAGCTTCATTAGTGCTTAACGATGATATTGTTATATTAATTTTATGAAATATGCGAAAAATATTTTGCGAAATATACGCACAATTTTTTCTGCAGGGAAGGATAATATGATGTCTGGTTTGTTCATGTGAAAGTACAGGACGACACTCGATTGTAGAAATCTACAAGCTATATATTCGAGGTTGCGTTGACGGTGCTAAAATAATGACATGAACTGCGGTCTTTCTTATGTAATTAATAAATGCAATTTGGACCCGCTAAGACATGCGTCCGTCCTTCTATGTCGTGTATTCGCGAATGATTACAGAAATTAACTCTTTCATGCGCAAATCAATCGGACTACAGTTCACGAAATGCACTCATGTTAACAATCTTCTTCAGAAAGTTAGTTTTAAGCTGAACATTTTTGGACTGAAAATTCCATACAATTTTTTTTACGAGGCACAAAATTTTTGGGGAATTATTTCCATTGTCGTAATATTTTCTATTTAATTATAATTATTAAAAGAGTCGATATTGCGCATGGGAGGGTTAATGCAAAGATTTTAACGTAATGCATAAGAGAGAAATTGATAAGGATACTGATGAGGGAGCGTTAAATACGCTTCAACATCCGAGACTGTTTTAATATTTTATAAGGTGCAAGCTACGTCAGAAACTGCAATTTCCTACTAAACATCTCTTTCTTTCAACACAAAAAAGTAATACTAGTTATTGCGCGCTCATTAGATGTAATGCGAAGACAACACATGCGGAGGATTTTTCTTACTGACATTTATTTCTAACGATCGCTAAGCTATCTCATTGTACATGTCAACTTATTTTGCAAAAATAAACTATTGGGCACAAAGAAAGCGTTTGGTTGTTATCACAATTGCGGAGTTCTTCGGCTTGTATCGCATATGGTTATTAATTAAAGTTAGTGCGTAAATCTGATAAATTTTATTTAATTCCCTTAATTTTACAGCTATATATAATCAGACATATTATGTTCTAATGTACGAGAAGTTTGATCTAATGACATGCCGAGCCATCAAATTTTGCACAAAAACTAACAAACTTTTCCTATTAATAAAATTCAACATTCTTCTCTGCATCTTTTAAAATTAATCCTTAATGTATTGTTATTTAAAAAATCGCGATATTTCTATTGGGACCATAATCGAACACGTAGATAAATCAAGAGAGAGCTCTTCTCTCTCTCTCTCTCTTTCTCTCGCTCTCTCTCTCTTTCATACTTGGCATGTTATTACGCCAAACTTTTCATTTCAGTTTCCACAAAATGTGAAACTGTACATGCGCTTTATTGTATTTGTATTAAACAATGCATACTCTGTTTATATCAAATTGTTATATAAAATTATTAAAAGACATGCGTGAACACTTCTATCTATTTCACGAACCAATGCGAGAAATAAAAATTTTGTTCCTTCTACACCGAGGATTTATTCATTTTTCATTGAAATATCAGCTCCCACAGCGTAACGGAATGGAACAAAGTCGAGCAACGAAACAATTTTTTAAATACCGTAGTGAAGTCACTCAGCGCGGAGAACTACTTTATCATCTCAACCCGATCAGGGGGTCGAACCGCCGCGGATCTTTCCCCCCATTCGTTTTATAATTACGTACGCCCGTGGAATAAATTTACTCGTCAGACACGAGTCAAATACGTCTCAGTCCGATGCCTGCGTAATATA